TTGGCTGCCAGACAAGTTAAACTATCACACACCCTATTTATGGGTCGGATAAACCATGATACTGTAATCCCCCAAGTGAGGCAGGCAGGTGTTCCCCAGCTGTGCTGAGTGAGTGTCACCTAGTGGAGAGAACAAAAATCCAGTTGTGTCAGCAGGCACCAAAAGAAGCAGCTGGCACCTGCAGGAAAGGCACAGGAGAGGGTTTTGTTGGTCATCATTGATTCAGTACAGCTGCAAAAAAAGAGTTACATGAATTTCCAGGTACACGTGTCCAGCTTTTGAGTGCAGAATGGATTATTTTATGTTTGTGCAGTTAAGAACACTGTGTGTAAGAGCCCTGTTGTAATAATAGAGGTGGTTTCCTTGACTATAGGAGCTGTCTACATTTGTACAGAAGATGTGTTCCCAAGCAAACGTTTGCAACAACTCATAGATCAACAACATAAGCTGCGTGCGGATGTTCCGGCTGAAATCATACAGAAGATCAAATTTGGAAACAGTATTTTTGTTGAGCACGCAGCAGACTTAGTAAGTAGTAGCACAATTAAGAATGCATAATTATTACACTGTAATCCAGTTACCACAGGGTTTTTTTTGATACAGGGGACCTTTCAAAAAGCTACAAGTGAACTAAGATCTGTAATGAATACTTATTAATCTCTGCAATTTGCTGACAAAGAACTGTCTCCTACAGTGTTTTATTAGGAAAGATAGACATTGCTATTTTTTAGAATTAATCATGTAGTGGATTTTTGTAAGTCATTATGTTATTAAAATGTAGTAGACTTATTGCTACTAGTTTTACTGCAGCTCCTAGGGAGATCTTAATTGAGTTTGGAGACAGGATATAAATATATATTCAAAAGGTAGTGTATCCTGAGTAACTTACAATATAACACCAGAGTTGTTAAACTGCAAATTAAGCAGGTGGGAGGAAAGGATACAAAAAATGATGCCTAGAATAGGTAACAGCACAGCACAATCACAGCAGTGCAGCTGTCTTGTCCCTCTGCCTGTGAGACATCGTAGTAGAAGCGGAGGGGAGAGGATGCAAACTCCAGCACTGTGTTCTTGCCTTGTGAACCCACATTTCTGTGCTTTTTCTTCAGTAGCCCTGAATACACTCTTTATTGATAGTGTGTCAGAAATTCTTTTTTCTCTAAAAGCTTGAAAGTAGCACTTAAATCATTCCAATTGTTGGAGTTTTTCAATCATAGTTTGTACATAGTTCTTGTACATTAGTGTGCTTGCTGCTTCTTCACCATGTGCTCCAGGCAGCAGCTCAGTTATCTTTCCAATGCCCATTTTATTGGAAATATTAATTAAAGTGCAGTTGTAGTTTCTGGAAGCCACAGAGTGATTGCAAAAAGGAGAGAATCACCCTATAGTAGTATGTACATCTCTAAAAATACCCCTAAAACACTGTGCTCACTGCTAAGTCCAGCAACTCCACAATAGATTACTACAGTTCATGTGTTGCTATGTATAGGTTCGGTCTGTGTGTGTATATCCATGTACATAGATTGCATTGCTGTATAGAGATAGGTGGATTATAGCCACTGAAGTAGAAACTCAAATCACAATGACATTCTGTATTTTGTTTCACTTCATCATTTTTTTGACTTGCTTCATTGTGGAGAATCCAGTTGTTTGTGTATTCACTTGAAAATAACGAGTTTTGTAGGAGCAGAAGGACCACATACAAACACTGAAGGGTTTGAAGTTTCCTGCATAGTTTCCTGTAGGTACACCAGTGAGTGAAACAAACAAACAAAAAACCCCATCTGTTTTCCAGAATGGAAAGCAATTGTATGTTCTTCAGAGTAATATTTTCTCCTAAGTTAAAAAAAAAAAAGCCTTTGATATTATAATATAATTTATTTTGTAGAAAGCAGCTCATTGAGTAAAATATATCTCACTGTAATTCAGACTTGAGGGTTACCGTTTTGTTTTAAAAGCTGTGCAGTGCTGGAGGATAGTATATATCATTCTGAATGCATGTAAGCTCTTAGCTCTGTTTAGATGTGAAGAGTGGCACCAGTCAGAAGAACTGACTCTCACATTATTGCTTCTTTGCCAACATTGACATTTCTGATGGCCAGAAGCTGAGATTGTTGCTGTGAGCTCGTTCTTTCTACTCAGCTGCTGTAGGCCACACTGTTAAAAACAAGATACTGGGCTACAAGGACCTTTCATCTCTTTATTCTTACGTGATGGAATTTGCCCCCTACAAAATATTTGTTAGTTAAACTTCTTGCAAGTGAAGTGTTTGGTGACTTCAAAATAGTCAATTAGTAAAACTTTTAATAGGGAGGATGTAAGTTGTAGCTACTCATGTTTGTAAGACTCTTGATCAGTATAGATTTGATGTAGCAACTATGTGTTTTACTGTTTATATGTCATTGATGGGACAGCAGCATCACCTCTAACTGCTGTTTTGAATCTTTAATGTTAATCTTGAGTCATCAGTGTTTCAGTGAGAACCACCCCTGCAAAATAGGAATGGTTTAGGATTGTATTATTGCACTCTTCAGATTTTGAAATCTCGGTAAAAAATTGATTTAGGTCAGAGCTTCAGATAACTGAACGTTGCAGTTTGTTCTCTTTATTTTTTTTCTTAAGGTAAAACCACAAGACATTTGTGAAAAAGAGTTACTAGTGAGGCTTAAAAATCCATGAACTCACTTTACTGTTAGAAACTCCATCAGCTTCTGTTTCAGCGACGATACCTGTAGTTACGGTCTTGATTTTGCAAATAGAGTTATTTGAACTGTTTTAATGCTGGCTGTTTGTATTTTCTGGTAGGATACCTTTCACAACTGCATTACTAAAAGGATTTCCCTCCTCCTCACAAGAGGCATGGTGCGGTTGGTGGTCATAGACTCTATTGCTGCTTTGTTTCGATGCGAGTTTGGAGTCTCAGATTCCGTGATGAAGGCTCGGTATTTGCAGACGTTTGGAGCACAGCTTCACAGTTTAAGCACTAGATTCAGGACTCCAATAATGTGCATTAATCAGGTATGACCTCATAATTAGTTCTCATTTTATGGAGACCATTTAATAAATGGCTGGGGTGGGGAAAATCTGTGTATGCAGATTTCTTGGTGTTGTATTTAACACTGTTAACTGAGTATTAATGATGGATGGAAACCGAAGTTTCCTTAAAGGAGTGTACTTCAAACTAGTAAATTCTAACCTCTCAAAGTTTAAGCATATCATTTAAGCTTTCATAGACTGTTAATGTCCTCAAAGGTTGTTCAGTTCCATGCTAACAAAAATGGATAGGTATAGCAACTGCCCACAGCATGCAACGAAAACGACACTGGCTTCAGGTGCCACGGCCAGCAGGATTGCTCTGGGACCTCTGCATGCACAGTTATATTCCACAGACAGTGGAGACAGTGAAACACCAGCGACTCTGCTGCATTTTTGTGAAGCTCAGCATTTTTGTGTAACTGCTGAGATTACTAAAGCACTAGAATGCATGCGAGCTGACACGAGCTGAACCAAAAAATGCCTCAGTGATACTAGTCAAAAAGAATACTCTGTTGAGAAAACGAGAGCAGACACCACTTCTGCCCTGTAGAAGCGGCATGCTGCTGCTCTTAGTCTAGCCACAAATCAGAGAAGCAAAGGAATGCTGGAAACGAAGCATCCACACTGGGAATGCAGCCTCAGAAAGGGGTAAGTGAATGTGAAGGCGGGGCGCTGTTGGGAAACTTCCTTTCCGGAAGGCCCCTTCCCTCATATGGCCGAGTACTCGGCCCTGACATTTCCTTCTCACGGCGGAGGGAGAAAGGTTGAACTTGAGAAGTCACAAACAAGAAGAATTTTGTATCAGGAAGAAAGAAGAAGGAAAATCAAGGGAACTGTGATTTCATTTGTTCCTGTTCCTTAGGAGGAGTTCTGGAACTACAGATGGGCAGTGTGTAAAACCTGGCATTTACTGCCACAGCTGGAAGGGAGTGTGTTGGAATTCATACACAGCAGTCATTCGAACAGCTTTCAGGCACACACAGTGGTTTTATTTTCAGTAAGATTGCCATTAAGATTCAGTAGCATTTGAATTTCAGCCTCAAGTTACTTCTAATGTTTTAACCAACTTTTGCTTACATAATCTTTCACCAGGTCAGCTAGCTTTTAAGGAAAACTGCCATCTCCTCTCACTGCTTTCTCAGTTTTAGTATTAGTAGAGACAAATTGTTCTCCTTGGGAAGCATGTTTTGGATTTTGCTCTTAGTTAAGCAAAGATTTGTGTGTTTCAGCATTTATGCTATGAAGCCAATTGATGGAGTCAAGTTCTTTGGCTAGCTTCTGGGATACTCTTGAGTATGGGCATTTTGAAAAGGCTGTCTGCCTTCTTCCTGGGGGTTTTGAGTGCCCATCTAGCAGGCAAAACAGGATTAAATTTAAGGGTAAGACATGTCTACATGTGTCCAGTCTCTGCATTGGAAGCATTTAGCGTGAGAGGGAAAAGAGTGATTTAAGAGAGCTGCTTAGATCTGCGTTCCCAGGACAGGAGCTTTACCTTGTTGTGGCTCACAGTAGATGAGGTCACTGAATGACAACAGTCTGACCCTTTGCTAACAAAGAGTCCTTCAAGACAGTATTCTAATGGAAGGTGACTCATTGCATCAAGTCTGTAGTTACAGGATTAAACTCTGAATATAATGGCATTGATGATGGCTATAAAGTAATCCATTCTGTGCATTCTATTTAGAGAAGTACCTATAAACTAATTTGCTGTGCTTTGTGAAGAACTTGTGTGGAAGAATGATGACATTAAAAGACAACAGTGGGAGTCAAGAGGGGTGGATTTTTCTAGGTTGTAAGGCAAACTGTTCCATTAAGCAGGCCTTCAAAGGCAGGGAAATTGCTGAGAGATTTGGGCTTCAGTGCCTTTTATCTACAGCAACAGTTCTGGGGGAGAGGTTATTTGCGTGTTGGGTTGGGTTTTTTTTGGTTGGGTGGGTTTTTTGTTTTGTTTTTTATCAAATTAAGCATCTAGTACTAGTTAAATTCATATAAGCTGTAGCTAGTTAAATAGTTGTAGCACTGTAAACTAAGACTATACTTCACAGTTCCCTTTTAGTTTGTCTTGAAAGAATAAGGGTTTACTAACTTGGCTTAATATGTGATCCAGTAACTTGGATTTTCTTGGCTTCCTGCTCTTCTGCTTGCTAAAAACAAATGGGTAACTACAGGTCAACTCCAAATGTTTTTCTGCTTTAGGTGACCGATGCAGTGAGTGAGTCAGAAGCTGCTCAGTGCAGTTGTAGGTAAGTCACCTGCAACAGAAATGGAACAAGGTCGTACACGGCACCATTGAACCACTCTGGTTTTTATAACTCCCATATAAACTTAGCAGAGCATGTTAAGAGCAGTAGTGCATTTACCCAGCCATGCTGTGTTTGCTGGAGATCAGCAATAACTATTGGGCTGTGAAGTGGAAGAAACTGCCATAGACACTTCAGTGGTAACCCCTGACCAGCAAGGTAGGTGGGGACAGTTTCCCGGAGGGAATGGCTGGTGTCCTTGCTTACAGAAGAGTATTTTTGCATCTCTTCTTGTCTCTGATATAATTGAGTGCATTTTCTGTCTGCTTAAAAAATAAATAATTAAACCCCCCCAAAAAAAAAACCAAAAAACCAAAACCTTATCAATTGGTTTTGTTGGTTGCTTAAGAAAAAAAAAAATAGTATCTTTTGACACCAAGATATTAACAGGATTCAAACCTACATATTTGTTGTTTGAATCCTAATTATAACCTTGATTTACTAGGTAAGCTAGGTGCTACAGAAATGTGTTTTTGCAAGAAGTTAGTTATGTCCTCCAGATTCAGAAACTGACACAGAACAAGGATAAGGGTCTGGTTTTTAATTTCCCCCCCCCGGTTATCTTGTAATTCTTTTACTGGAGAGATTGCACTTTCTCCAGGAAAAAAAATCGGTTTAACCTTCAGGTTGGAAGTAATAGATATGCAGTGTTGTATCTACCCAGCATTTCCAATATATCTTTGAATGGAATCCAGGGCCAACAGTTACACACTTCAAATACTTAAAGTTCAACCATGGCTGTAGTTGGAAGAACGACTGAATTATTCTGTATAGAAGCATTTGTCTTCCAGTTGTTGCTTTGCTATAGAAAGAACCTAGTGCATAGTTTTGTGAGTATACCCCATAATCTCTGTCTCTGAAGACCGTTAAATACAGCAAACAACAATAAATATAGAAACAGTGGATCATTTCTTCCAGTGTAATTTTGTTACAACAGAAGTGAAGGTATTTCATATTAAATTCATAGATGCAGAAATCTGTGGTGCTTTCCTTATAGTGCAGTGGATAAGAGAGTCACTCCAGCACTTGGAATAACCTGGGCAAATCAACTGCTAATGAGCTTGATGGTCAGCCGGATATCACAACCTGAACAATCGCCTGGAGCTGTGTCACACCACACTGGAAGTGTGAGGACTCTAAGAGTAGTTTTTGCTCCTCATCTCCCTCCATCCTCCTGCTACTATACAGTAAAATTGGAAGGTGTAAAAGGAATAAAATAAATCCCTTTACTAGCAGTAAAGCATCCTGCTCCAAAGATGTATCAGAACAACTTTGTTTTGGGAAGAACTCCTAGTCAAATGAAATTCTTTCTAGATGAGAGAAATGGATGCTGCAATACATCAATGGTGGTATGACTAAATTAGCCTTGTCTGCATTGTGAAAAATGATCTTTTTATATTTGGATATATGTTAATCAGGCTTTCCTCATGAGGTGAGTATTCTGAAGGAGAGTAAAGCTGTGAGCAGGTGGAGGCTGCACAGTGAAGTGTGATGTGGCAATCCCTGTGTTAGGGGAGACCTGGTCTCCAATTCTGTTTTAATAGCATGCTAATCTAGAACCAGATCTACTGCAGTTGTGTGCCTGCTCTGGTTCTGGACCCAAAGGGACTCATTTTCAATGAGGTAGCGTTGCCTGCTGGTGTTTCTGGGCCTCATGCTGCCATTATGTAGAGCCGTTCTCCTATCTATAGGGCCTTGGAAATAACACAAAGCAGCTATCCTGTTTTAAAACCATTTGTTATATTAGGATTTAGACAAAAACCCCAGAAAGGTACTTGATTTTAACATCTTACTGTAAGAATTAAAACTACTGCATTTGTACTATATGGGCATATCTAACTTCATAAAACTTCTACAAATTTTTTGGAATTTTTTTTTTCCACTCTCTTCCTGCTTTCCAGTTCCTTTAGCTCCTGCCATTTAAAAACTACCAAGCCCCACACCCGCCTCCCCTTGTTCTGTTTGCCAATCCCTGAAGCTGTGTAACCAGGTAGTTTCAGAGCAGGGTTCTCCCTGATACTCTGCACTGGTTTGTTGGATCTGGATAGCATTCTGGATTGCTCCCTTAAGTAGCTTCTGTCCTTACTGCTGGGCTCTTAGCTCAGCTCTGCTTCTGAAGAGCATCTTCAGCTGTTTTCGTCCATCCATGGAGCTGTTCTCTTAGATAATTTTTTTGTTAGTGTCAAAGCATTACATGTTTTTCTTTCCATCTTTGCACCACGTACCATGTCTTTCTCTGTTGGCCTCAGGCAACTGCTGTGACATCTGCTTTTTCTAGTATTTCTTTTTCCTGCATGCAGTGTGAAAGGAAGCGAGATAAAGTTATCTCCTTTGAGCACCTTTTCCAAAGGCCTTACGCCTTATTTGGCCTATGTTCTGTGGGTGCCTGCTCTCATCAGTGTATGATGCTCACTTGTATCACGTACTTGTTAAGCTTTCAGATTTCTCCCTCCTCGTTCCTGCTCCCCCAGGCTGCCCAAACCAGAAATCTACCAATCTTGGGGTTTTCTGTGTAGTTATATTGCTCTGTTCCGTCTTTTGGCAAATGAGAACTTTTTGTTCTCTGCATGGAATCTCTTCCATAAATGCAAGTTCAAAGGAATGACTGTCACTTGGTAAAAGGCAAATCCGGCCACGTTCCTGCTGTATTCTTCAGGTGCACTGTCAGTGCAACAGCCACCTCCTCTACCTTTCCCAGCAATACTTCTTGAGGATCTAGTATAGCAGCCGCCTTTTCTTGTGGAAGCATGCAGCCAGGTAGCAGAAAGGAAAAGTTTTGTCTAGTTGTACACTGGGACACATAGAACTCTGGCAGAAGACTTCCCCAAGGACAAGAGACCCAGGAAGACAGGGACTGTGTGACTGCCTCAGGGAAGTGCTTGAGGAGAGCAGGCCCAGTCACACCTGGGAGCTGATGGAAGGGAACTCCAAGGAGAAAGCAAGCCGATTTGCTTTCAGTGCCTTCTGAGATCCTTCAGTCATCAAAGGGACCTCGTGCAAATAGCGTAACAAATTGTCTCTAAATCTCTTCTAAAATGTTCTGATTCTCTGTATTTGAAAATGACCATGCTCTGGTGTTTTTAATAAAACCCAACAATGAAGTTTAAAAGTCTTTGTGTACTCAATCTAAGGACAGAGTCTTCAAATCCTTATGTTCCATCCCTCCTTCCTAACAATTTTAATGAAAATAATACAGCACAGGTAACACTCAAATCATTCTCTTCCATTCCTGGCCTGTGTATCTGGGACAGGCACTGTAGCCAGTAAAGTGCTCATTCTATTCTACTAATTTGATTAAAAAATAAAATAAAGCTCCACAGCCAGATGTAGCTGGTTAACGGGAGTCAGTCAGCCCCTCCCTGGACATTCATTTATAAAAGAGCCTCATCAAAGCCTCAAAGCCCAGGCTCCAATCCCAGGAGCTTTCCTCACTGTGAGCCATGTTCAAAACAGTCTGATACACATCTTAAGCCTCAGTTTTGTCCTATTTTGATAGGTCTTTTTAGGAATGAGACCTAAGTGTTAAAGAGACACAGGTGGGCCCGTAACCAAAGTCCCAGCTTACTTGATGAAAAACACCTACCAACAAATTTAACACCTTACCTGAGCGAGTGTTCCAGTCATTGCCCATGTTGGTTCTTATTTAACTCTCAAGATGGAGACATACATCTGAGTCGGAGCACTACAGCATGTTTCCGAGCTCATCATCGCACACAAACCCTGAACCTCTAAAACGCAACTGACCCCGAGCCCACAGTCAGTCTCACAGCAGCTGAAGGTTCAGCTGCAGTTTCTCTCCCTTTCTTCAGTCACTTGCATCCACAGTCAGAAATCTAGAACATTGTTCCTGCCACAGCTTTGGGGTGCAAACCCTCATGAGTCTGCACAAAGCAGCTGCCCTCTTTGAAGCCTTGTGTCAGAAGTGCTGAAACTTGCTGAAGTTGTAATAAATGCAATTTAAGACCCTTCCCTTTATACAGCTTTATTCATCTTTGGATTTCACAACTGAGATTTGTTTCTATACAGGAAAAAAATTGAAGTTATTTTTACAAAGAAGATTTACATTCTAGAATGTATGAAGTAAGTGTATCATCTTTACCCTGTAAGACTACAATCCAATATTTTTATGTACTTTGAAAAGAAACCTTAAATGACACTTGAGAAACTTTTAGACAGTTTCAAATTAATCTACAGATCTGTGATGTATTTAAAGAGGCCTTTTTCAGCAGAAAGATCATACAGGGTTCTGGCAACACCACTTCAGAAAAGTAGAGTCACATCAGTTGGTGCTTTGTAAAGATGAAGAATTTACACAACCGACCCATTAACAAAACAGATGTAGTAAAACACACTAAGTCTCATTACAGTGAGTCACAGCAAATTACTACTATTTGTTACAAATCACGTTTGTGGAAGTTGGTTGTTTTGGGGTTTGTTTTTTTTCCTCAACAAAATTCTATGGGGTAAAACAACCAGGTGACCTCTGAATGGGATTTGTCCATAGCTCTGACAAGCAGTAACTGCACACAGAGATCAAAATGCAGCATCTTAAAGCCAATCTTGGAAGGTTTATTTACTTTTTTTCCTAAATCAAACATGAAAGCCACATATCAGGGTTGGGGGGAAGTTCTCCTGAAGAAGGATACATTTACCTCACAAATGGTTTTCTGGTTTTGCTCTTGTTGGGATTTGGTTTTGTTTTTTAAGCCAGGTCCTCGAAAACAGAAAAATACCATTTCTGATTGCATAGAACTCACCTGGCTTAATTATGCTGTAACCTAAATCCACTACTGTATAATGCTTCTACTACATAATTTAAAACTAAAGACTTGGTAACTTTCCCTATTTAAACTGGGACTTGAGTATAAATACAGGGAGCCTAAGGAGCGACCTGGTTTTAAAAGCTTCTTCACGCTGCTTGTTCCATGCCCTATACCATTTTTAGTGTCTCTCTCTCACTTGTGTTTGCCAGCACAACCCTTACAGCAGCTTCAAACTTTCTGATGTAGCTGGAGCATTAAATGAACGTCCAACTATGGTTCTCTAAATATTTCTTATTGAAAAGCAGCCACAACTGAAGAACAGTTTTGTAACTTCACTATGAGCATAAGCATCGGGTCAGGTCTTTTTACCTCTGTCAGATGGTGGCACTGTGTTTTGCTTCTTGCTCTGTTCTTTCAGGCTGCTTTTAAAAAAATTAACAAAACCAACTATTGACCTTCATTGTACTGAGGCTACTGTGAATGGTTTGGGGACAAAAATAATCCAATGTAGATGTTCAAAATTTCCCTCAACTCTATTAAAAATTTTTAAAAGGCAGCCAATGTTTACCCCAGTAAGTCTGTGACAAGGTAAGGTTGCTACAATGAAACTGTAAACGTCACAGCATTGTGTATTTTAACATTTATTCTCTCAGCACAGGCTAACATTACCAAAAATGCAATTCTCTTAGCAGCTTTCAGACAAAATACACAACCTGTACAACAAAAACTAACGTAACTTGAACTCATCAAGTACTGTAAACACACTTTGAATGAAGCACTGCACACTCCTTTTACTAGGTATTTACAACAGAACCACACCATTTTCAAAATTACTGGATTCAAATTGTACAATTTCAGCACAAATACTTCTCAAGCTTAAAATAATTTTAATTTACTACCATTCAGGAGGGCCTGGGGGGATGGGCAGGGGGTGTTGTCTGTTTTGAGCAAAGGTACAAGCTCTAGATAATATGTCCAATTGTTTTTCTCTTGTTTAAGTGCTATGTTCTATCACTGCAGTTCTGCAAGCACAAGCACCACAGCAATAGTTCAGTTACTCCTCTGAAAGAGTAGCAAATAATGAAAGTTATGTTTTACAATAGTATTTAATGAGATCTAAACTCAAGACCAAATATTGCCAGTATTCCTAGAGCCTAGCACACATCCAGACAGACAGAAGGGCAGCAGGGCCCTTTCCGTCAGTAACAATTCAATGTACGGCTCATCCTCCGCACGGCCCTCGCTGACCGCACCCCAGAACCAGCTGCTCTTCCAGGAGAATCCCGAGGAACTGGCCTGACCTGGAGTCCTGGTTACACTGTCAGCGAAGTTCACCCTCACCATTCCAGGCAAGGACAAACACGCTAGATTAAAAACACAACAGCACTACCAGGGCTGTGGTTTTCCTGTCCATTCTGAAGGTCTTTTCTAGTTTTCTTCTTCATTAGAGCTATTGATTTAGTTTGGTACCAAACACATCCAAGAATTACACAACTGGCTATTGTGGTTCTATACTTCAGCTATACTGGCAGCTACAACTGGAACACAGGAAAGGCAGAAAGATAATCCTACATAAAATCAAACTGAGAAGCCCACCTGAAATTTAAATGTACCAAACCATGTCCTGACAGCAGTTCATTCATGATTCAAACACAAGAAATCTTCCACCTTAACTTTGTTTTTATACTTTACAAGTTCTTCTCAAATGTCAAACAGCTCATTGGCTCATAATGTAAGGACTCTGCTATCATTCTTGGGGACTTACAGATTAGATAAATCTCAAAATTTGCTTCTTCTCTGAAAAAAATTAACCTTTTAAATGTAAGAATTGTTTAATAAGCAGTAGCTCAACAACGTAATCTTCCAACACACTTTAAATTACTATATAAAGGTTTAAAACATTTAAAAGCACAGTCCTAGTAATGCCACCAACAGTAAGATACTGAATGAGGAAGTTCCCTCACTATCACCATCAACATACCATGGTCTTGCATTTAAAAAATGTAATGTACATTGTAATCTGGAATGGTTAAATATTTTTTTTGCTATTTACACAAGTTGTTTGTTTGGGGTTTTTTTTTTGGGGGGGGGGGGTTGTTTTTTGTTTGTTTTTGAGAGGCTGCGGAAATAATTTTCCTTCAAAATTGGAAGATGAATGTAGAAAACACATTCTTCAATTTCTTTTAAGTAATTCCTTATTACCAAAGTCAGCTCAAGTGTCCAAAAAGTTTTGTGGGTTTTTTTGCAAGTCAGACTTTCATAAGGGTCTGACCTGCAGTCAGAACTGACTTTCTTGCGGAATTCAGTGTATGACTGAATTCCACACAACCATGTGTGACAAGTCCCGCTGAGCCGCTCCCCCAGCCGCAGCATCGCGCTGGTGTGAAGCAGGGTGACCGCAAGGGGTGTTTGCAGGGAGGTTCTCAGGGCATGGCCAGAGGGACAGACGACACCATTGGCCAGCGGTTAAACAACGCGAGGGCTGGGACACGGGCACCCAGGGCCTGGCAGCCTGACGTACGGCCCCTTGTGCGGAGCTGGCGCAGTCTGGCTTTGTGTGCAGAACTGCATTCACCAGTGGGTGCACATAACAGCTTTTGCTTTTTTTTGGGGGGGAAAGGGTATATATATTATGTATTTTTTAATATAAAAAGCTCTTAATAAAAAGATTAAAACCCAAAAGTCTACGTTATATGAGTATATATTGTTAAGATAACTGAGCAACAATCTGTTCTTGCTCGAGTTCATTAATGAATTGCACTACTCTGTGCTAAAACTCCTACATATTAGCAGCATTGTATCTCACCGTTCCTAAACCGTCCTTATAGCAGGTATACCATACGCAGCTTTCTTTAAAGAGATGCTAATAAGGTACCTCCTGGTAAACATAGTTAAGTGCATTACATTACAATAACTGATGCAAAAAGTTGTATACCAACTTAAAACCACATGTAAAACTGGTCAAATACTTCTATGAAGTACTAATTCTAATGACTGTTCACAGCCTGTTCAAATACTAGAACTTGCTTATGTTCCTGTGTTTCACCTCCTTCAGCTGGTGCCAACCTTGAATTAATATTTCAGCTTTTCCCAAAGTTAACTTTTTCCAGCATTTTCCAACTCACCACTATAACCACAAATACATTTGTACACACACTGGTTGGTTTTTTTTACTTTCTCATCCAACTTCACACAAATAAGAATTTTTACAAAAGATTAACAAAATTACAAGCTTTACAGAAAAGCAGAAGGAAATACTAGTGTCTATAAAATACTTAAAACATACACACTTAGTTCCAGCAGCAGTCCTGTATACAGACAGCATATATATTAACCGTAAGTAGATTTAACATGGATGTGTGGTCAAACGAGTTGCTTGCCACTTATGGCCATCTAGTGCTTCTGCTGGGGCCCTCAGGATTCAAGTGGTCCTTTGCACAGCAGCTACTCCAGGGTGTAACAGCCTAGCATGTAGTTGCCTGCCTCTGCTGTCATCAGCTATTAGGGAGAGAGGCAGGATTTGGGATCAGCAGATGATGCTGAAGCACTTTCAGCGTACAGAGACTGGGACTGTGAATTCCAGTGGACAAGCAAGAAAGTCAACCTGAGGCTTGGTGTTTCCCTAAGAGCAACAGCAGCTGCTCGGGGACCACTGCAGTCCAAAACTTCAGTATTTTTCAGCCAGACAAGGTAAAGGTCAAAACATTTTCCATTTCTCCTGATCAACACGAACCGTCCTATCTCCATTGATTATTGTGCCCTAAGACTTACATCCACAAGTATCAAAGTTACGGTCACAGGTATTGCTATCCCTGCGATCTATACGGACTGTAACCCCAACCGTCTCTGCTGTAAAATTTAACAGCTCAATCTAGTGGTTAATTAAGCCGTGTCTAAGTGCTGTTCTGCCACTCAGGTTTCTAACATTACAACCATCAGTGGTGCAAAGGAAAGCCCCACCAATACAGTATGCTCAATCTGAATTTATACAGTAACGCACATAAATTTATTCTTTTCTCATTCCAGCACTGTATATATTTACTGCTACACATTTAATTTTGCCTGCTATTTCAAACACGTTTGCATTTTGGTATGTTGTAATTGTATTTTTACTTTTTTTTGGCTGCTGTAAGGTTCAGATCTAGTAAGGAAATCAACATAAGTAGCATGAATGGGAACAGTGCAATGAGCAATATATATCTATATAGTTTTCCTTTAGAAGAAAATACCCACTAATGCTGTGTTTAAAATCGTCCCTATTTAGAAAAGTAAAAACAGCAGTCCACTGGGAAAAAAAAACAACAAAAAATCTACAAACTGGGTGTTCCTATACATAATGATGAGGAACCAAGCTTTGAAGGTCTCAGTGCTTCTTTATTCACAAAGGAATATTAGCTAGCTTCTGTCCAAGAACCTCAATGCGCCAAATCAGTATGACTGACACTCAGAGCTCTCGAGTCTGTCAGACAATTATTTCGTTCCTGTGTGAAGGGGAAAAAAACAAAACAAAACAAATTAAGCAGATGTCCAGACAGTTGAAGCAAATAAACAAAATTACTAGTTTTAACAAACAGGAACAAAGAAATACAAGGGCCTATGAAGAACTGGCCTTTTCGTGTTGGGTAGGGGGACACTTTTCTGTACTCTAATAAACTTCTTTTTCCCCAGCTGAAAAGATCTATTGGTCATGTATATGCACCCTTTACAATCCTGACCCAAGTCCTAACAGAAATGCAAGAGCCCGTCTATGGGAATTGCCATGAGCATCTCTAGTGGGTGAACTACAAAAGTCACAAGAAATGAGAACCAATTTTAATATCTCACTGTACGCAAACAGTAAATTACTCTTCTGGAAGTCACATAAACTATATACTAAGGATCCAGTTTAGGGGCATCTATGGCACGGCATTATGAAACCTTGGCGCTCTTGCTGCAAAGAATTATGCTTTACCCTGGAATTTTTTGGGGCTGAAGTTCCCCCTAAGCAGTTTTCCATACATGTCACACCACAGAAAGCTCTGCAGTACATTCATTAGAGATAATATAGTTAAGACACCTTTACGCCACTCAACAGTAAAATGAGAGCCATACAGTTTGGGCTTCCTTGCTACTTTAGGACAAACAGTGATCAAGATCCTCACGTAAAATTCTGTTAGTACAGAAGCAATTTTATCCTCTTAAAATTAGTTGCAGTTACTGTGTTAGTAAAATGCACAAGCGTTTAGAACGCAGAACATTGCTAGCTTATTTGACACAGTGATTTATAAGGTAAAAACAGGATATGAGAATTAGCAATTGGGCACACCACATACAGTTAAGCAAAATAAGGTTTCATATTAGCAGAAGCATAACATAGATGAGACAAACTTTTAGAGACTGCTCCTGTACAACCTCAGAAACAACTGAAGTCGCATGTAGGAGAATCTGAACACATACAGCAATTAAGATAATTGGGCCCTTTGCAATACAGGGAGCTGAAGTAAAAAAAGGACTTAACTGGCCTTTAAAAGTTCTTGTATTTTTAAGTAGCATTTACAAGAATGTAAGTTTACAAGAATGTAAGGTCCAAAGCCACAGACTGCTTGGTATCACAAAAGCCAATACTGGTTGGACTTAAGCATTTGCTTAAAATTAAGCATAATTCACAGAAGTGTTACAGAGGGATGCCTTAAGCATACGCTTTAAACATCTTTAAACATCTGAAGTAGGATCTTACCACTCACTGGGAGTTTGTTGTTTTATTATTTATCATAGTCTCTTTATCTCAAACCCTACTAGTAATACCTATTTTTGTAAGAATATTGTAGGGCTTCTTACTTGAAAATGATCTTCAGTAGCCTTGCCACCCATGTTAAGAACATTCAGAGAACTGGCACGCTTCATGCTGCAACCAGGACAGTGAACATGCAAGGATAAACCAATCAGAATAGCTGAAAACTAACAGCTCTAAAAACACGAGTATAACAACGAGCAATGCACAGTTAAGGGAGTTTGAACAATGCCCCAAAACTGATCTGAGGGATACCCTTTAAGGTAACTACATCACTTAGGATATATTTATATGCAGTTCTAAATTACATATAAAACAAAAAAAAGTTACAAGCTTCTCAGAGCTTAAACATTTCAGGCAACAGATTTAATTTCAACTCAAAATCTCAATTTTTAAAGCACATCAAATTAATACACTGACTTAGCACTGATTTTTAATTAACATTCTCAGTTTCAATTTTACGCAGCTTCTTACAAAAGCATCAAAACATTCAGACAGTTTAAGAAAAAAAAATGTGGAACATGAATTGAATTTGTCATGTAGGCAGCATTTAACTTGGAAAACTTACAACAAACATTAGCAATTTCTGCCTCATCTAGGTAAGTCTTCAAAAAGCATTTTAAAATCTTTTATTTTAGACATTTCAAAGTTAAGGGAAACAAGATGGTTGCTGCCATTAACTTTGGTTATGCTTTTGGCTTTACAATGCTCTGAGCAGTGGCGGTAACAGGCTAAAATACCGTATTGAAAGCAACAGATGAGAAAAAAACCCCATTTATCTCCTACACAAGAGCTACTGACAGACAAAGCATCACTGTATTTTCTGTAATATCTACTGCTGTTTGAGATGAGGATTAATAATTTACCTTCATTTCTCTAACATATACAAAATTTAACAAAAATTATTTTAAAGTGCGTGTAATGAAATTCAAGATTAGCCTTAAGCTTCCCATCATCACAGTGACTGCAACAGGAATGTCTGATGTCCTCTATCCCAGGCGTCTGTACAGGACTCAAAATGCATTACATTTGCTTGGATTTTTCACTAGCTCCTTTTAACTATTTCAAAACTACTAACTGAGAGCTTTGAATATGTATTTGATGAACTATTCATGAGACGAGGCCCTGAACTGCTGTGCTACCTACAGCTTCAGCCGCAGCTGGCTGATGCGAAGTTTCCAGTGCCTTCCAGTAACATGGAAAGGTTTATCCATACAGATCACATTAGAGATTAACCAGTTTCCCTGGCTACTGAAGCAAGACTACTAACAGTCAGAGTCAAGCACGTATTTTAAATGCTTTCATAAAGCAAAAGCTTAGCAGAATAATGAACCAAAACACTAACAAACACAGGCAACAGCTGCCACATAACATAGGCTTACTGGTTTTTCCCCAGCATTAAATCTGAACATTTCAAACACTAGAATGCACAGAATTTAAAATATTTGACATGAGTGTTAGCAACAACAAAGCAGACTCATGCATGGTATACACCTCTCAATTTATTAAAGGAAACATGTACGACAGAGGTTATATATGTAAGTCAAAGGAAGTTAATCTGTAAAACACAAACACAGTATGACATTAGACTCTCCAAAAGAGCATAAAGGTTTATGGAAAACATTCCAGGGAAACAGAAAATCCAGCAGTAAAAATTTACACAAGTATTTTTAGGTTCTTGCTGAAGTGCCAATTAAAAAAAAAAAAAAAATTTAATCACATGAGATACTAATTTGTTTGTGGGTTGTTTTTTTTGTTTGGTTTTGTTTGTTTGTTCATTTTAAATCAACATACTTAAGAACTTCAGTCTGGTAAATGTACTTTTAATTCCCTCCATGTGAAGGGAAACACGACTGCACAAATAGCATGCAGTTGTTTATCAGGTGTATAAATATAGCAGTAATGAAAGGTTTTGGGTTTTTTTCCCCTTTTAAATTACAAATCTTAACTGTTCTGCTGTATGATCAGAATTTTACAGTGAAAAAATCAAACCTAACATTAATTAAGCAAAGTTAAACTATTACAGAACTGAATTCTGAAATATGATAAAGAAAGAACAAACAGATGTGATTCTGTGATATCACGCTTCAGGTACTGTATGTTTCAAGGAACAGTTCTTAAAAGATTTGCTCTTTGTCAAAAAGGCTTCTACATGATTTTAAAGAAACAGCTTCCCTGATGAGTTTTCCACTTACTCTCTTCAACTTTCTGCATCAAGCAACAGTGTGAAAACTAAGTCTGTCTTTCATGCTGTGATACTACAGCATTTCTATTTGAGTATTTCTCATTCAGGATTGTACCAGCACTGTCAATTTCTATTTACAGAAGCACAGTTTAAGCACACCAGGTCTAAATCAATTTCAAAATAAATTCTTCACAGACAGGGAATGCAGAGGTGGACTGGTAAGGAGGGAGACACTTGAGTCTTGTATCTAGAGTGGCTGGCTTCACAACAAAAATCATTTCTATGTATGCTATGTCAGTATTGTAATCTTCAGCTATCAAACAAACTAAAAAACAAAGGTTTGCATAATAAAAACTGAATATCCTTTTTTATTAATTCCACAAGCAGAAAAAAACCTCACCTCTATTTACTAAAGTTTTTTCAGAAAATTAAATCAAAATTATTTCTTGGAATATCAATATGTACAGCTACGCTTCATGACCTACAAAGCTGGTGTTTAATACCAGGAATCTTAGCTGGTTTTAATAACAAATGCAAATATAAATTACGATTTTAAAAAATGTCTATATCTTACAGGAACAGAAATTGTAGTATTTATTGTCTTACACACTCAACGTGCATGTCTACATAAAAGCCTGTCAATGCAACACACTTATTGCAGGTTTTAAGAATAAATTATTCTTTGAGAACTACACTGACATCTAAAAAACAAGATTGTTTTGTCAAAAAAGGAAAGCAAGGAAGATACTGCTTTGTTTTCAAATTTGTTTCACATCAATGTCTTTGAGCACTCTTTTCTCGTGATACAGATCCTACCTGTGGGTAAGATTACTTCTACCGTGGTCAAATAACACTGCTGAAGTGAAGACAATAAAAATGGAAAGGAATTCCAATAGGACACTGCAGAGCCAAATGTCTTCAGTTATACATAAGCACAATTTTCTACACCTATAATCACGGAGTTACTTTACCTGCAGAAGTTCGCTCTGTTTACTACAGAGAACAAGGAATATAACACTAGGCTTTTAAGAAACTTAAAACCTTTCTGTGTCTCACAGAAATTAGGAGAAAATGCAGAATTAGCTATGAATATGTGCATCTATTCTTACAAGAATATACCTGAACTATGAACAGCTCTAGACAGAACTGAATAGAAACAGAAAAACCAATGTATAAAACTGCTTATACTGAAGACAAAGAAGGAAATCCCTTTTATTCTATTTTGGCTTGCATTTGCTTGTTTTCCCTGTAACATTTTAGATTTACATATTTCCTTCTAATTACAAGTTTTTCACAGTTTAATGTCAATTTATCATCTCAGAGGCAGTTCTTAATGATGTATCAATAAATGCAAAGGGATTTTTGACCTTCAATTTGATTCTGTGTCTTCAGCATCAAGTCTCTGGCAGCTAAGAGTGAAATTTTAATTAACAATTCTAAAGATCAGCTCAGGTTGAATTTGAACAGATACGCAAGGAAGAGAATTCTATGTGTACTGCAGCTGTACACGATGCTTTATAGTTGCATAAAAACAATAAGGGAAAACTTCATTGGAAGGTTTACAAAAACATATTGAGACCCTGCCTCCAGATCCCTGTCTCAGGTATCACCATCATCATCTACTATATTACTCATAGATCCAGTTTCTCCATCAGAAGTTAATCCAAGTTCTCCAGTTTTACTGTTTTAAGGCATAAGTTCAAATTCACATTGTCATACAGTTTCCTGCCAACTAAATGAGTTCCAGTTTTTCCCAGCAAGGGGAAAAAACCCTGCAAAGCTGACTGCAATTATGTTGGGGGTGAGGGAGATCAACCACGAGTGCTATTACAAAAAATAGTAGTATATTTTAACATTTCAGCATCTCTGCAGTAGCCAATAAACGATGCATGTTTTTAAGAATTTATTATAAATATTACATATATCCAAATCCATAATCATACCCTAAATAGGAAAGAGTAAGAAGTCAGATTCATTAAAATTTGAATTTTTACCACTAAGTTCACAGAGGCCAAAATGTTAATGAGATGCACAACTAGGTTCAAGTTTTAGAACATTTTCCTCTGCTCTCTGAAATGTGGGGTTTCCAAAAATAGAAACTGAGAAGGGCTCAAGTCAGTAACTCTGTCTATACCCACAACAACATATAAAGCTATATCAAGAACATACCAAGATATTAAGCTATATCAAAAATGTTAGTTGTGGGTGTAATTCAAGCTTTTATTGTTAAAAAGAGTAACATTTCTTATTCTTCACCACTGTGCAAAAAGGAGAATTTTGCAGGTAACTAACATTTATCAATCATTATATGATGCTTTTGCATTCTTCAAGCGGCCAAAGCAGTCAAAAGGGAGAAAAACATTGTTAAAATTAACTCTTAAAAGCAAATATAATTCATCAGATGCTACCAAACTTTCATTTTAAGTTTAAGAAATCATTTAAGAAATTATTTCCTGTTTTATTTTTCTTTTAAGATACAAATCTGTAGGATATACAGTTATCTAAGCAGAGAAGAAAACACTGTCCTAGGTACTGCACTAGGCTACTAGAACGAGGGCACACCAGCACAGCTAAGAACAGATAATTACCCTGGATTCTTTGGTTCACTGTCTCGTGAACTTCCTCCCTTCAGCTTTCTAACCAGCTTCTCACTGCTGCGTCTAATGGAAGCACGAAGTTTGCTAAAGGAACCACTGCGTTTTAAAGATCCAGTGCCATCCTGAAAAAAATTGAACAAATGTGAAAGTGCAAGAGCTTGTCACCCTCCCCCAAACCTAGCTCAAAAACATGTCATTTATGATTTTTTTTAAAGAACTGCTATTAATATATACTTGGTACAACTACCTAAACACAGAATATCATATAGTTATAATTTTACCAAAACAAAAGGCTTCATTCCAAACTGTAGCAAAGATTTCTAAAATGTGAAGACGTGCTCAAGCCACGATTCATAATAATTACTGAAATCCCACCACAGTAGTCAAACAATTCACCATCACCATGTTACCGTTTCATATGCATGCACTGTGGTTAACAGAGCAAAAGCTCCAAGCAAAAGCATTCCATTACAGTCTAAGGAAAAAAACTGGTTTATTTTTTCTAAACATCTACATTACTTGCAAAGATACTTAATTAATCCTAAAATCCTTAAACAAAAATATTTCCAATCAGAAACATGTACGGTGAAATTCCTATGCCTCACTTTAACTTTCACCAAAGACAATGTAAAACACGACGAATTTTTCATACATTGCATTCATGTTTTACACCGCTGTGATGATCCAAAGAAACTTCTAACTTACCACAATTCTATTTTTAATTTAAAAAAAAAAAAAAAACAAACCAAACCCAAGAAAACCCAACAGTTTAGTAAGATTAGAAGTGACCACTTCCTTCTTCATAGAAATCCTCTGTGATTATGAAAAAAGAATTGTAAAAGAAGAAAGCAAAGTACTACTAAGCAGACAAAGACAGACACCTGAGTTGGAGTGAGTTTATTAGAAGTTAGAAAGACAAATACACAAATCACTGAACACCAAGATTAGTAGAGAAAAGCATAATTGCCAAAATCTCACACAAAGACTAAACAGCAATGCTACTTTAGAATAATCATAAGTGAAGACATCCAGAGTTCCATATTGATGTTAACCATGTAATAGGTCTCTAAATATGTTTTAAAGCACTTGGAGAACATGCCTTACTGTTACGGGTTTTGTTTTTCTCCTGTAAAGATCACCATCATGCCATTTCAATAATACCTTGTGTGATACTTTTAACTACCTTTTTTCCATAGTGAACAGCTACTGATAAAGTTCATCGTTACTTTTTTTTTTTTTTTTACTAATGTATTACACAGCAAATGGTTGTAATAACATTTTGTATGACTAGATACATATCTGGCAAAGCTACACATGTACAGAAATAGAAAAACCAAAAAAAAGACACCAGCGCTGAAGGAATGGCCAGTTTACAGGGGAGTGTAGCTCTGACAAGAATCTTAAGGGGTTTGCTAAAACACAGCAGTCAGTACTGAAGAGAGAAGTTAAAGCTTGAAGATGGTGCACGCCCGTCATGCAGGAGACAGTATAAGAATCACAAAAGGCATCTAGGCCTGTCAGAAATGGAGAGAGAAAAACTGAATGAAACTGTTGGGAAAAATTCAACAGTTTTCAATTTTGAACAGTTACGTTTACAGTATTTCTAGGTCACATTCAAAACAATTTTTTCCAGAGTAAATATTTGGACTGTTTCAGTACAAAGTGTAGGCCCCTGCAATTACCAGAACGTACATCGTTATAAGTGTCGCCTGTATTACCAACATGCAACTTACAAACGAGCATGGATGAGGCTGTGCATTCCTTCAAGTTAGCATTTGTACAAAATACCAAACACCTTTAAGAAGGGATTGCTAAAGAACTTTTTTTTTTTTTTTCAGCTGACATTAACACAAAAATAAAGAAGAAAAAAAAAAAAAGAAGAAAGGAACAGAGCAAGGTGCATTCATTTCAGCTTTAACTTCTGTCAGGAATTTTCCTTGAAACAAAACTGCAAGAAGAAAGAGGTCTTCCCCCAACCTCCAGACAAAATTCCGTTCATTCCTTTAAGGAATTAGAATCCAATCAACTTGTGTCATTTCAGTTTCATGAGTGTTTTTTAGAACATATCTGTGTGTATATATGTATGCAAGTGGAACTTCTCTACTTTCCCTAAAGCAGTGAGGCAGCTGACAGAATCTACCTTTAACAATAAGCTGTGGTTCAATTTACATAATTTGAGTTCTTGGTGTAAGTACAGAGACCATTACTGATAGTCTTAAGATAACTGTTTTGAGAGCCTTTACCTACAGAACTGGAATGAACAGGAATTAAAAATATTCTTGGAAATGGCAAAATGCTTTGCTACCAAGTGATTAGAAGATCAAAAACTAACAGTATTTATGTTTCAAACTAAATTGCATATATTGTTCACTTTTGAAAACAGAGTTCATCTTTGCAGGACTGAATAAATTGCAGTCTAAAATCCAATCAGAAGTATTACATAAGTGAAAGGCTAATTATTGCAATGGTCTTAAACCAGCAATGCAATAGCAGTGATAATGATCCAAAGAATAAAGGCAAGACAAATTTGGTAGGTATAGAGTATAACTTACATTATGCTAACTAGCACATTAGGAATAAGCAGACAAGCTTTTAAGTACTTCAAATCTGAAATAAAAACATTAAACTCCCAAGTTCAACACTGACTGCATGATTAACAAAACACTTTTAAAACATGAGCTTTGGATAAGAAAAAATTCCTAAATCCAGCATAAATGAACAAACAAAAAAATCACGAGAGAAATCAATTTCTATGGCAAAGTTTAATTGCCATTTTTATGTCACTCAGAATGAGAACCACCTTATTACTTTTGCTTACGCCTCTCCACCATCACCATCTCCTGTACTTTGTAGCTGTTTGCTACAATGACCCTCTGACTGACTGACACTTCTTACTAAACAAAAGCAACTCTTACCAGCTAGACTCATCACTAGTCTATGGTAGTGAAATTTATTGCTTTCATTTCACACCTGGAAGTGGACTCACGTGCCCCAAAGTTTGTCTTTTTTAAGTATATGGGTTAGAATAAGAAAAGGTACTTCCTCATACTAAGAATATTATCTTAAACTAAGCACTATCACAACACCAGTCCTGCAACTGGCTGCAAGATTTACAAATATGCCAGTTGCAGATATCCACTGTAATTTTTTACATACAAATAGAATAAGGGATAGAAATCTTGGGATTTCTACCTTGAATTTTTAAGATTAAGTACTTCTTTTCATTTTCAAGTATCTTCTGTTATCTTTAAGGGATGGACTTTATAAGAAACATGTAAACACGTCCTATACAACCTCACAAAACATGTCTGTTATAACAGTTAACAGCAGGTTTACTTCAACAGACATTTCAGTTATTTTTAATGTGGATTACACTACATATGGAAGTCACTTCATTACAATAAATCTTCCAACAAAAATTTTTCATTGAAGTTTGTTGCTTTACACGCTCTATTCTCTTTGACAGCCAACAGTATGAGTCACCTTGACCACTTCAGATGAATTTAAATGGAAAAGGCAAGCCTGTCTTCAGGCTCCACACACAGAATTAAAAATTTCTACTATAGTTTACGATTCAGAATATTTTGTCTGGAGGGAACACACGAGGGTAAAAAATACTACACAATATAAAGTAGAGGGAAGAACAGCACTGAGATAGAAACAACAGCAGGGTAGAGGGAGAGAGAGTTGCCCACTTTCTGTAAAACATGTAATACCTCTTCTCTTAAGAGGGCAAAAAAGAAATAACAGAGATAAGAATAAAGCAATGCCACTTCAGCAGACTAAAAATGAAATGTTTGTTTGCCCTAAGAGGTCAAAATTTAATCTTTCAGATCAACAAATTTTACCACTGAGTGTGATTCAAATATTGACCTAGAAATACTGTCTATTGCTTTTCCACAGAAGGCTCTTTCAATCCAAAATCTGCATGCTTGATTAATTAATGTCAATAACGGAAAAATAGTTTAAACCATTTAGAACATATAGTCATGCAAAGTACAGTGAAAATTAAGGGAAGAGTACAGTACACAGTTCTAACGCTGAACAGGAAAAATGAGAATTAAAAAAAGAGTTATCCAACCTTAATTTGGCTTTATTAATGATGCAGTATTATTCACAATAGATGCTGATTGACTGTCTTGGCACTGAGAACACCAATGCCAAGAAAACAATAATAAAGAGACAAAAGCAAAGATGGAAAGAACATTCTCCTTTAAGACTAAAGCAGTACGTGTTTTATCAAGGTTTCTTTGGAATGCTAAACTTTGCCTCATGTGGCTAAAAAAAAAAAAAGAAGGAAAAAAACAGATTGCTATTGTAAGAGAAATGAAACTTCAGAACATTTGATACTGCAAAGTAGGCTACTTCCCCTCCCATGCAGTGAAAGTAGGCAACACCACTCCTATAGTCTAAGAGAGCAATTTCAGCAGAACTGCAGCTGGGAGTTAGTTAACAGTGCAATATATATCCCATTGCCAGGAATGGGATAAAGCATGGGAAAGCTGGTGACAGAAGCAAACAACTACATAAGCCACATCAATAACTGAAAGCTTGCACTGTCTTCAAATTAGAGGAAAACAATGGTTAGATAAATACATATGTAACCCTATTATATATAATGTTTTTACTTTATGACAATCAGCATTATACAGTGGAGCCAATATATGGGAAACAAAGAGGAACAAGCCCTGACTCCAGTCAAATTCTTATACAAGAAAGTGATATTAATATTTCACTTCAGAAATGTGAAGTTGCTATCACAAGAGGCAGTGCCTCTTAAAATGGATTGTACAGCAGCTTGAAAAGTTACATTCTTTCCTCTAACAATTTGGGCAAGGAGATTGGAATTATTTTAGTGTTAGACTGATCACTTTAATTTACTCTAAAACTGCTAACACTTAATACATCTCCATAGCAAATATTCTTTGTGATTCCAGTATTTTTAAAGAAACATTTAAAATAAGGTCAAATATGGCATCAAAAGGACAAAAGCAAAAGTAAGTTAATTGCTAGAATATTTCTACCAGTAAAAAAACCACTGACAAGCAATTGTACACCAGACCATAACCAGGACACTCAATCAGCATTAAACAACTTAGAGTTAAATACAACTGCTTGGGATTCTTGAAGAAATTAACCATTCAACACAACAACAGAAAGGATATTTTAAAATTTTAAAATATTAAGATTTTTTTACATTACGTTATGATAAACAAAATGTTATTTTTCATTTCTTAATTGACTCTTCAAAAATTACAAAATACAAAGTAGATCAACCAAGAAACTACTGAAAACACAATGGGCTGGTGAATGGACAATTGTATTTGTTATGGTGATAATTTATCCAAGCTATTTTCTTAAACTGTGTACTGTACTTACCCCATTCCACTCTACGCTCATACTCACTTCCTCGCCTCCATCAGGACCACTCTCGTACTTTACCACATCAACATTGAGGCTTTCTCGGCTTCGCCTTTTTTCTATGCTCTCAGGGTCATTCAGCACTTCAGCAACTCTCTGTTTATGAACATTGTCAAGACCCTGAGAATTAGATAAAATGGGAAAACATTTTATTACAAGCTGTATTAATCTACAAGTGAAACACAAAAACCATTTTAAGAGAAGGGCCAAACCAACCCGTAACTCCATCACCCCGGTTCTGCTTTCAAAGGGCAGTTAGGATGAGCTGCCCTTTATGCTTTGCAAGAATCGACATAGCATGAAGTGGATAGACAGTTTGGAACTTTGAGAATTCAGTGACTTGCCATTCTTTTCCTCCTTCCCTTACCAAAGCCTCACAGTGTTCATGTCACTCACCTGAAGCCATCTGGCCACCAGCTTAATATTCAAGCAATTTATAAATCACGAACAGTCAATGCAACACTCAGTTTTCCACCTATCAAATGGTGAAGTATTCACCCACCTTTGGAAAGACTGTCGCAGGTACCTGAATATCTAATACCTAAGACACAGGTTGTGTCATTTAAAAATAGTCACATATGAGACTTTGGACAGTAGTATCATTTATCCTTCAGAAATAAATCAAATAGAAAACCTTAAAATTGCTAAAATACCTCCTGTGAAAACCCTGCACTACAAATAAAGGCAAAATCTTTACCAGAGAAACTAAAAAGTAACAAAGGTCAAATCATACTCATCTTCAGTTTTGTTTTCTTTATAATAAACCTACTCCACATGATAGATAGTATTTGCTGACAGGAAGAGAACTCAGATGAATGCATTACACACAAGAAAACATTCTGCATCTTTCACTGTGCAGTATTAGTACCAAAAGCTGCAGGGGATCTGTGGGACAAATCCACAATACAAAAAGTGAAAATCATGCAAAAATTCTATTTAAAAGTAGAGTGCATGAATAAGAATGAAAGTTGGTTTAGCAGCATGGAGAAATCAGGTTCTTGGTTCCCATACAGCTGCTTTCCACTTACTGAAGAGCAGAACAGCCCTCCCTAACGTAATCCTACACACAAGGAAGCACGAAACCATCATATAATGATCATATATTCTCACTTCCACGTGGCTGTATGGTGCAGAAATGTGGCTAGAGACAGACATTACAGAAGTGTAAGGTCAAAACAGCTTTTGCACCAATCCCTTTAGCAGCACAGTACACAAAAAACCATGAAACTATTTAAAGCCACCACTAAGAAGGTGATATATACATACATACATACATATATATATACATATATACACACACATACAGACTCTAGGCTCTGTTCCAAAGCTATCATCTCTTATTTACCTCTCATGTTAAAGAAAAAAAATTATAACGAAGGGTCAGGGAACTGCATTTTGCCAGTTTGTTTGGTTCTGTCATGAAAGTTGAAGGATGAAGAACTTCACTGGTCTTCAAAAATCTAGCATATATACATCCCAGCAGCTAAAGCAAATAAAACATGTGAAGGAGAACAAAGCTGTGGAAGACTGATACTTTTCCACACTTGGGAACAAAAGTATCTCCTTACTTTTAGCTTAAAAGGGGCAATGCATTAACCTTGTGTGTCCTCCTTTACTTTAACGACCTACAACAGAAAGGTAGTGTCAAATGCTACTCGTAAGAGAGCATTGTTTCCTACATGTCCAAATCTAATGCTGTGTGTAATGTGTCATATTATGGTGGTATATGATGCACCAACAAAAATCTGAAGCATGCTTAATAAAAATAAAAGTAGCAGCAGCAAGCCTCCAGCAGGCTCTATGGAAAATGGAGACAATGAGCAGTTTTTGCAGTGGTACTGCCAAGCTGGAAGTGGGCTGATTAAACAGGGACTCTCGAAAAGAGACTTCCCAATAGCAAAATCCTCACATCCTTAATCCCCAAATAATCAATTCCAAGCTTCCCAGTAAAAATCTGAACTTGAAAAGTTGGTGCTCTGTTTTGTTGGGGTTTTTTTTAATATGAAAAAAGGAAACAAAAAAAATACAAGGTAAGTTTTCTTCCAGTCTTCTTATTACTATTATATTATACCAATTTATCCTGGTTGTATCTGTTCACACTGAAAAATTCTGATGTGTAATGGCAACAGTAAAACTAAGAACCAAAGCCAGTATGTAAGTGCAGTGCATATTCATTTCTTATTTTCAAATTACATTTGAGTAAGAGACACACCAAAAATGAACCTTCAGTAAAAGTATGTGAAAATCATCCTCTATCAATTATTCCCCCCATCTTTTCTTTGCTGAAGAACTTTTCTCACAGATTCATACTTTCTTTTCATCAGTTTCATTCCATTTATTTGACAAACACTGGCAAGTTTTCCATCATTTCTTGTGGAAGAAAGAACTTATGCAAACTTGCAGCAAAGGGAACTGATGCTGAATTCACTAGAAGAGCACAAGGTTTGCCAGGAACTTTTTTGTTCTCTCCCTTTTCCACAAATCTGCTTCTATATACATCAAACACTGCAGTATCATTCTTTAAAATACCATTTCACATCAATAAACCAGCACATTATCAATAGAGATACAGTCCATCATCTAAGTCAGTTTACTTGAATTCAGAACTTGACTATAAAATTTTACGTGGACACATAAGGAAAAAAAAAGAAAAACCAAACAAAACAAACCACTTCTGAAAGAAAAATAAAAATTTTATTTACTATTGCATAAAAGCAAAATGAAAACTGAACTTTCCAAGTTTTCTTTTATTCACTTATATTTTCTTATTTTGCTTTCCATTTTAACACTGACAAGCCATGTTTGCTTGTCCAGTCTTATGTACTTTTATCAAAGATGTTGTATCAAATCATCTAAAAAGGAAAGAAAAAACAAAAAGCCAATAAAATCCCAATGAAAACAAACTCCCACCTTCCAAGACTGAAAAAGGGTTACTTGAACAGCAGATTTCAGAGCACAGAGACAGCACAGAACTTCTCCACATTAGAACAACAATAATGCCCCGTTAAATTGTAATATCCATCCCATTGGTTTCAAAAGTAACAGAAACAGCAACTGATAAATTTATAATAGTCTTCTAAAGGTCTGCACCTTCAAGTTGTAGGCAGAAACAGAACATTTGTAAGTTTTATAGCTCCCTATTAAAAGGAGAACAGCATTACTGGCAAAGGAGATTATCAACGGAAACTCTCAATTTTCCCTTAGCTACAGCCTATCACCCAGGACACGAAGCCAATTGAGAACTGCTGACTGACACTGTTTTCTGCTCTTCCATTTTCCACATAATTTCATCCTCAATTTGAATCATGTCTCTGGTACATGGTGCCACTGCCCTGGTAATTAACCAGTTTGCAAGTGTTAAGATGGTCTCGGTTTATCACCAGTTCAGACTGAAATTAGAGGGTGATACCAGGCACCAGACACTGAATAGCTAGAAGTTTATATTCTGCATGTACGATAGATACTGAAATTGAAAATCTACGTGACCACCATGCAGAAATATCATTAAGGACAATTTTCAGACTTGCCTGTTTACGAGATCTCATTGCTGCCTCTTCTAATGTTTCAGCAGCTTCAAATTTGCCCTGTCGTCTGTAAAGTGCTCCGAGGTTCTTTAAGGTAGTTGTTACTGTTGGACTGTTTATAGAAAAAAAAAAAAAAAAAATATACACACACACAAAACTCAATTCACAAACTAACAAAAACTTAATACAGTATTTATCATAATTTTGGTAATTACTCTTTAATAAATCTCTTGAAATATACTCTACTGTACTTCACATATATATTTCAAAGTGCATTAATGGTTCATACTATGATTAGTCAACAGCCCCAAAAGTGGAAATTAGTAACTAGACTCTAGATCTACTCAAGAGAAAACTGGAGTTCTATATCCTTGTGTTTCTCAGATGCATCTCCAGGTGAAAACTTCGCTCAATCTGAGTATGTCCAACTGAGTAATTGTGAAACTACCAGAAACCATGCCTGCTCATGCATACAGTGACCATTACTGTATCACGCATTAGTCACAAAACAAATCAACAGTTCCTTTCATCAGCTTTTACTTAGTGTTTATTTGCAGTTTCTATGCATTCAAACTACACTTGAGCATTAAAGAGGGAAAAAAAAAATTGCACATTCCATTAACAAGTCTCACTCTCCAATAAGACTTTTTTTTTTCAATGACACAATGAGAATTAGCTCAGTTACAGTATTGTTGCATGAAATTTTGCTCCTTTAACAGTAGAGAAAATATTTCCTCATGCATTAGAATAAACTACTACATGAAAAACTACTCAACAAAATGTATTGCACCCAGAATTCAGGAGAAAAAAAGAGCAAATCTCAACAGTACAAAGGTTCTGTTGCTTGTTAAGTACAAGAATTCAAACACTGACAAAGTGCAAAACCCTCATTGAACACTGTCAGTATTAGGTGCAGGTTTCTTCCTACATTGTAACACCTGCACGCTAAAAAAAAAAAAATAAATAGGCAGTTAAGGAGCAAAATTAAAGGAAACAAAAAAAATGTACTTTTGTTCACCAAGTATAAACCAAGCTGAAGTCCTTGTTCCGCCTCCATTTTAAAGGGCGCATTTTCTTTCACACAAAACACTATTCTTCAGGCTTTAGAAACTCAAATACTACTGAGTTGTGGCAGTTCAACTTTGTTTTTTTTGCCAGATAGAAAACTCAAGGCTCAGTTACTTGCACAGTCTCCTTACTGCTTCTGGCCCTCTCTAGAGGTCTTGCTGGAGCAGGGAGAGCATGTATGCCAACCAACGGTATAAAAAGAAAGAAAGGTGACCTATGCTTCCATGTGAAGGGCTGCCAAGAACACAAGTGGTGAATTTTTATATCACTTACTAGATCTAACCAGCCTAGATTAAAAGCAGCCCCAGGACTTGAAAACTGCTACTGTGTTCCTGAAACCCAGTCTTGGGGCCTGAATTTTTAATACTGTAGTTTTTATAGTCCTAAGCAAGCAGTTGATTTGGTTTCAACTTTTAAACGTGCTTTAATCTGACATTTCTGCATACTGGGTATTGCCACATTGTTTGACCTGTAAAGAAATTACTCACCTGTCAACTTTGCAAGCTTTGTACCAGCTACCATATTCTCCAAAAGTTGTGCCATCTTTTTGCTTTCCCTAAAACAAAAGTAACATTGAAAAAAAATAACTGATTTGTAACTTAAACAGTAAAAGCTCCAAGAAAGATTTATGACAACGGCCTTACTTTGCATTCTTCCCTCTCTTCTGCATGCATCCAAATAGGCTTATTTTCATCTGATGAAACAGAAGAAAATATTTTATAGGAGTACAAAACTACGAAGTAGTCATTGTTTGATTTTCACCCTTCTGAAATGAAGTTGTGAACCAGAGAATTATACTATTAACACCACAAAAAAGTTTACTGTCCACACTACAAGCAGCAGATAAATAAAACATGCACTTCTTATTTTATAGTTTTACAATTCTACCTTCTTTTCTTATCTGAACCTAGAAACAGTTACTTCTGAGAAGCTTTGAAGTCAGAATATGCTGTCATCGATCTGTCACGTGCCTAGTTCTGTGCTAGAAAACAGGCATGTATTTCTTTTATCATAACAACTGTTTTGACATCTACTAAGTGGTGTATATGCTACTGTCATGGAATGCAATGACAATTCTTCACTGTGATTTATAGTTGATAAAATGCATTTGACTTCAGTGTACAGTGTAATTCACAATTTAAGGGTATTTTACCCATTCTTTAAATGTAATAATGGAGGACTCATATTAACAATGTATTTATTACGCCATTAAAAATCATGCACTGACTTTATCCTGTGACTGGAAAGTGACACATACTTTTCTGCCTCTATAAAAATACCAATTTTTTTATTTTTTGGGCATAAGATAAATTATGCCAGAAATATAATCCATAAAACATAAACCTACCAAGTCTCTCTGATGTAAGAAAAACTCTCCTTTTGAATCAAATGTTACTGCCGCACCTAAATGTTTTCTTCTGATGAATGTACCTCAATGCATTTAGAATCTCACTTTTTAATTCTACCTCAAGCAGACAACAACTTTAATCAGGATACAATTAACTTCCTACAGATTTCATTTAATAGTAACTCCAAAAATGAAACGTACGTTCAAACCCAGGGACTAAGTTTCTTACCATCTACAGAGCCGAATTCCCGTTCGTGAGCGCGAGTGAGAATCTCTTTGTATAAAGTTTCCGCTTGCTTAAATTTGCCCTGTTTTAGATAGCAGGATGCCTGAAAACAAAATACCCCCCAAAAGATCGATAAGCATGTTGTTTTATTTAGCTTGATAAATAATAAACACAATACATGCTGAATAAAGGCACATTTCAACTCATTAGAAAATTTTACTTTTTCTTAGATTTACTCTATAAAAGGCTTACCAGGTTATTCTTGGTCTTTGCAACATTTGGATCATCTGGTCCCAGCTTAGTTTGGTAAATCTCCAGTGCCCTCTGATAGTAGTATTCAACCTCCTCATATTTACCTTGGTTCTGGCACAGTAAAGCCAAGTTATTTAATTGTTTGGCAACATCAGGGTGATCTTTCCCCAGAACCTGAAAATTAAATACCTTGTATTAAAACATTCTTCAATCATTATATCAGGGTTTAGAAATGCATCATTTAGAAATACCCTGTTAATTTTAATTCCTCAACAATTCAACACGAGGATGACAAAAGTAAAATTTGCATTTGAAAGATGCGAAAATTAATTCTATTACAAACTGAGAATGCTGCAGAACAATTTACAACAGGAATAATGTAAGTAGTATAACAACATTATACACAGAGTATTATACGAAGAAGACTGAAGATGCAGGCAGTCTCATTGACTAATAAATATCCACACATAGTCATAGATTATCAACTTTAAAATGTTAATGAAGTTTCATTTTTAACTCCAATGCTTTTGACAAATCAAAAATTACTTAACTAACAACGAGGAAAGAAAAACGTAAAGAAGGTTAATTACAAAATACAAACCATACCCAGAATGCTCCAACAGCTCCACAGGACTACTGGAATTTACTACTGGTTTGAGCTTCAGGCACTACTAACTACTACAGCATTGTTAACTCTGTAGTTTATCTGTCAGATCTACCCAACCAAAACACACAAAAAAAGTACAAGTATTTAACTTCGCCCCCTCCCCAAAAAAGTCCATTCAAGGGGCTGTATTCCTTTGAGTATACCTTTTCTCTGATTTCCAAAGCTCGCTTACACAATGGTTCAGCTTCTTTGTACTTCCCTCGTTTACCATAAAGTACTGCAAGATTGTTTAGAGTTGCTGCCACCTGTCAACAGTAGAGAAATATCAATTACACTGGAATTTGCCAATACAAACATCTGACAAATGAACACATCTGCAATGCATTGATGTTTTCAAATTTTCCATGCACAGGGTAGAAATCTTGAAATTTGCAGATGAAGAACTAATTATTGTTGAATGCACACATACACAAACGAGGAAAGGCAAAAAAACCAAAATCACAAAATACTTTTGATTCATTTGTGGAAGCATCATTTAGGGCACACATTTTCTTCACACATTCTTCTCTTACCAAGTTACCTCTCACCTCTATACTCAGAGCTGCTCTGCTTCACACAGGCTACATGAAGTGAGATACCACATTAATTTTAAACACTAAGTACAAAAGTTTGATTTATGTTTTGTTTAAAAGCAGCAATAAAAATAAAAAATCAGAAGTACACCTTCAATCTGAGTTTAATAAAGAGATTTGAGTAAGCAAATTGAAATCTTTCTTCCCAAATTAATTTCCCATAGAAAATCCATGCAATCCAAAATCAAGAACGTGCAAGTCATTTGTGGTGAAACAGCACTGAATATAATGCTCAAAAGGTACGTTGAATATTTAAGAGAAAACAAAGAATTTTACATTGTAGCCTCCTACCTGTACTGTTTAGAGACAAGGCAGGTCTTAAAAACTTTCCTGTTGAGTTTAATATTAGAATAAGTTGAAAAAAATTCAGTGAAAAACACAGCTAAGAATATGATATTGCATGTATACAAACCGCTGGATGATCTTTGCCCAAAGTCTTTTCGCGGATAGCCAAGGCATCATTCAGGAGATTTGCTGCATCCTTGTATTTGTTCTGGTCTCTAAATTTTAAAGAGTCATAATTAATACTGAGGATTCAGAAAAGAAAATAATATAAATTAAGCTGACTTCAGTACCAGCCTAAAGATGCCAGTACAAAAAAAGATTAATTGAGAATATATTCAGAAATCAGGAAGTAAAAACCTGAATCCTGTAACTGTAATTTGCTGGTTGAGGACTAGCAGGTACCACTTCTATACTGCTGCCCAATTTATACCTCTAGGTTATCTGTAAGTGGGTAATCAAGACATGTCCCCTCATTAGACACAAAAAATTTTAAAAGTATCAAAACCAGCTTCACTCACAAAACAAAGGCACAGGCAAAAATGCAGTAACCTGTTTGACTTTTAAGTATAAAGAGACATATAAATATTGCGGGACTCTCTTGAGGGTTTTAATAAAAAACAGGGAATGGAAAATAATACAACAGTCAAGAAATGTTAGTCTGAACATTAACAGGTTGTAGCCAAATATCAATTATTTATTTAACTGATATTTATCTATGTCTGTATACAAACCTGTACACCAAAGCAAGTATGTTCAACATAGTGGCAACATCAGGATGATCGTGACCCGAAGTCTTCTCCAGATCTTCAAGAGCTTGTTTACAGAGAGGTACAGCAACCTCGTATCTACCTTGGGAAGCGTACTGAATAACAAGATTATGAAGGGTCCTTAATCTTGCTGGAATTTCATAGCCACCTTGCTGGGCAGCAGCTGCTGCACTGCTATGCTGCTGTTGAACTGAAAGAAATCCGCAAGATTTCAAGTTGTTTAAAAGATGACTGTCACTAAAACATCTAACATTACTGCTCAATGACACAAAATGAGACTCACTGAATTTTACTTCTTCAATACAAAGCATTAGTAAGAGAACATATTTCACAACAGTCATGCTGTCTTGAACAGTGACAGTGAAAATATGACCATTTTATTCTTCATACTCTATCCAGTACTACATCAATATTATTTTAGACATCTACTAGCTCAAAGGGCCAAATGTAACAAACCAATGAAGAAAATAGAAAATTATTTCAGCTCAGCAAATCATTAACAATTCCCAAGACTACACCATCATTTTGCACTTACAAATATCTACATTTCCCTATAGAAAGGCACATTAACATAGAGAAGCCAAATACCTGCAGAAAAGCTCCAATGATTTGTCATTTTTCCTTTAGTCTCCTCCTCTAAACACACAAATTTTTTGTTTCCTTTTGTTTGCTATACCAAGGAATACTTAAGGTTGGCACATAAGGGATTAAAACACCTTAGATGCCATAAGCAATAGTTGCAAGAGAAAAGGCACTGAGTCAAGGATAGCGTCAACCCTTAGGTTTTACTTACTAACCCTCAGGCTTAGCCACTTATTTTCCAGTAGCTCCTAACCTTTGGTTGTTGCAACCCCCACCCTCTCATTCCTCCTCAAATTTACTACCCTTTTTCTCCTCCCCTGGGAGATTTCCAGGACAGTTGAGAAAAATACCTCTTACTCATTTTCCTTAAATTCTACCCAACACACAGGATAAGGGCTCCAGCTGTGAGCCTGACTTTCTTCTCTCCTTTCCATTGAGCAAAGAACACGCTCACAGAAAGCAGGAGCCTTTTTATGTCAGCGGAATCACACAATTCCAAGCCTACATCCACAATCACTGCCTACCAAAAGCACTGAACCATTTCAGTACTTTTCGTGGAGGTCAGGAAATTACTGAAATGTCAACTTTGTAAAGCAAAATAAGGTAGATGGACTAGGCAGGTATATAGCCAGCTTTGCCATTCAGCTTTCCTGCTACAGAATTGTAGGGAAGGAAGGATGAGCTCGGGATGGAGTTCGTGGTCAACACTAACCTATTCTGAACTCTTCACATCTTCCTTCCATTGCTGGCTGCGAACAGCATTACCATGCATCAGGCATGGGGTGTATTTTGTGTGTGCGCCCATAGAGGAAGTTCAAACCTGCCAATTACACAGGCGGGACCCTTCAGACATTTTCTTCTGAAGTCAATTGTCTACTAAGAACCATTATACAACTAGCACACTGCATACACACTACAATATCAATGCGGTGGATAATACCAGCTTTACACTCATATGAAAAGCACATTTCACTAAGCAAGGCTTATCTAATAATGGCTTCTTTCAATCACTCCACCAACCTGCACCTCAAACGTCACTGCATATTCATCAGTCCTTCTGACCTGAAGACAATACTTCTACAATGAGTAGTATAACTAAGGAAGACAACCATAGCAAAGCACAGAAGACTATATGAGGAAAGACTTCAGACTAATACCTTCCCCCAAATGTTAAATCAGATCACTAAAAAGGTCATTAATAGAGTTCACCATCTGGGCACACCATCAAGAAGCTTCAGTGTTTCAGAATCTGCCTCAGTCACTTGGAACAAACCTTTTCCATTCTAAGGCCCACAGGAAAGACTGAGGGACCAATTTTGAGCTGAAGTCAGTCCCAAGAACTTTACAACAGCTGGTAAACTCTCTTTAAAACCCTAGGCCCCGGTTCTATACATATCAATGTACAGAATGTGTATCAATGGCTGGTTTTCTTATTCTAGCAGAGGCATTCACCACTCCACTGTGTCCCAGAGGACCCCAAGCACAGATTCATTTTTGTAAAAAGTATCTTTATATTCTGCATTGCATAAATACACTAATATTGTAATCTGGAGTGCACTTACTGCCTTGGCCTTGGTCATCTTCATCATTGGGAAATAAGTCATCCAAAGGCTCTTTGGTGGAATCCGTATCTTTATCCTCCTATAGAACAACCCCAAATCCAAACAAATTGTTACACTAGGCACAAAGGGCAGTCCACTTAACCAGCAATATTAATGAGAAACCCCACATCCAGAACATGAGAATTGCCAAGAATACCATTTCTCATAGAAGTTTAATGAAGGTCTTACAGTCAAATGTATTTACATACTCTGTCCCAAAACAATACAGGACACCTTCAGAAGAGCCAGGAATAGAAATCAGGTCTCCTAGATCTCAGTCTCAATTTAACACACAAGAGCACACTTGCTATTCTTACAGAGACATTATGGCTACTGAAAGTACCCAGTGAAAAGGGAGTGCTACTGAATACACAATTATTTTGTGTTCTTTTAGTCGTGAGCGTAGTTATAGGTGAGCAAGGGAGTAAGGAGATTCATCTCCTGAAGAATAAAGTTTCACCAGCAACTTTAACTCTGTCACCTTAATTTCTTAGTACTCAACCTTCACACAAATAATAGATTTTGCAATCATGATCTGTAAGGTTCAAAAAGAAAAAAAAACAAAAAACCACTTGGAAGGAAGTTCATCTCCCACAGTCTCCACCAGGAACCACATTAATTTCTGCATAATCCATCAATCTATATTGATTGTAAACATCCCAAGATCATTCCAAATACCAGAATCATGTAAAATAAAGAAACAGATCATCCCTCAATCCTGTTTCTTAAACATAGAGTCTACAAAACAGAAATAGTTTAAGTTCTCAGAAATGTTAATCTCAGTAAGGAGAAAACCCAGGAGCAGAACACATTCCTATTTTTCTGGCTATCCAACACCTTTTTCCACAGATGAGAAAAAGGCAACTGCTGCTGCTGGCATTCAAGTTCAATGGTGGCAAAGTGGGTGCTCTGCAAAAACAGCAGATTGCTGGGACTAGATCTCAGTTGGGAAGTTCATAGTTTTAAGTGTGCTGATTCCAGTCTCATACTGAGTGGATACAATTGACTATTTTCAAAGGCTAACAAAAAGAGACTGTCCATATGGTTAGTGAAACTATAAAGATGCTTTGCTTACTTTGTCCCTATTTGCCAATTAAACTTGAAATAATGGTGTTATTTAGGCCACCTGCAGATTACAGTTCAACAGCTAGCACATCAAAATCCTAATAGTCCCTCCTTCTGACCCTCTTCTAAACAGGCTTCAGTGGCAGTACTCAGCTACAAATACCAACTCATGAAACAGCACAGAAAAGTTCCACGTGCAACTGACCAAAACAACTCCTACAGCTCACAATCTGTTAAAAAGGATTTAGTAAAGCAGCCAGTTAAGCATGACTAAAACACACGCATTTTCAACCGTTATCTTGCTGAAATAATTGGTTATGAAAAACTTCTTTCCAAGACACAGCTGAAAAGGTCTAAATGCACAATGAGATCTTTCTCTACAGTGCCATTTAACTTAAGAAAACAAAATAAAAGGATAACAAGAAGGGCAAATAATTCATAAGTCTTTGTAAGTAAAAAGTTACTTCTGTAAATTAAAATGGTATCCATTTTCTCGCTAAATCTAAGAATATGTAAGATTCTAAACACAATGGGCTAGCTAAACACAACTGAAAACGTGCAGATGATCACCATGTCTGGCAGAAGGTCATGAAAGGGGATTCAATAACATCCTATTCTAGTATAAATTCTCAACAGGTATAAAAGCTACACACTGATTTCACTAGATGAAAATTAAATATTTTTCTTGCAGTCAAAATAAGCCAAGTCCCCTAGGTACTTTGAATCTTGAATAGTTTACAGTCCCCACTTATTTTAAATGTTGAACTCACAAAAGGAAATTTTTGGCTTGAAGTTCAGTGCTTTGTATTTTTTTTAAGCTAATATGATACTAAATAAATATTTATAGATTTTGACCCTCATATGTATTTTATTATCTACAGACAGTGAAACATTTACTCTCTTAAAACAAGAATGAACTGAACTCTTGGAATCTTTCTGCAAACTGTGACACTGGTACAAGTTAAGCATTTTAACTGCAAGTTTATGTCAAAGACAAATAAAAAGCTTCTATCTGTCATTTCTTGGTAACTGGGCAGATTACAACACATGTGTAAACGTAAGGTGCTTTTTACTACATGGCTACTTACTGATGGCGAAATATCATCGTCATATTTTTTTAATTGATTCATGAATTCTAGATGTTTCTTTTCTTCCTCCAGCTGAGCCACAGATTGCTCACTTTTCTGTAGTTTCTGTTGTGTATTGGCTAGTTCGTCCCGGAGCCACTGATTTTCCTGGCATAGCCGGCGAACCTGAGCACGCAATTTCTGCTTCTCCGATTCCACTGCATTTAAGTGATTGGACAAGGCCATCATCACCTAAAAAGCAAGAGGTGTCACATGACATACTTCCCCTAGAATGCAGTCCTATATTTAACTTAACAGCCTTTTATTATTTAAAACATATGTCAGCTGTGAAATCTGGTAAACATTCAGATTTCTCTTCTTTATATATCTGGTTTTCACTTTTCCTCCAAAATTTTTTACCACTTCAGCCAGAATTAACCTGGAGGAACTCTTGACTAATGATGGTTTTCAATGATGCTATCGGAAGTCAAATTGTTTTAGAATTCCATGAAGATTACATATAATCTTAAAATATATGAAAAATTTTAACTAGGATTTAGATTACTGAAATGGAAGTCTTTGTTCTGCTAACATGAAATGGAGCAGTAATACTTTTAACTTGAAGGATCACAAAAATAACTTAAGAACTAACAGAGAACTCTAATTTAAGAGCTTTCAGACAAAAAAGAATTCTTATATCATCAAATGCATCAAGTCTTTAGAAACTACTTTTTCCTAGAAAGGTAAGATAAAACTCCAGTTCTAATTTCCTAATTCCAGACTTCAGCAACTACCTATTTACATATTCCAAATTGTTGATAATTTAAATTACTTGGCCTATTCAAACAGTGGCATTTATAACATCAGAAAGTATATTTGGGAAGGGTCCACATATTCAAAGATACTCTAACAACATTCTACAAACAACAATGGCAAACTAAAATCCTTTGTAATCTTACTCTCTAGAATTAAATGAAAGAAAAGGTTATTAGTGCTTCAGCAAAGTCAGTTTCACTTTCATAGAAATAACACTTGTGTCATCAGACCTAAACCCACATGACAAAAACATCTAGACAATATTTCTGTATCTTAATTTAAATCCTGCACATCCAAAAAATACTGCACTGTTGCAATCAAAAGAGTGCAAGAAGAGTAGGCTTATCAGGTCTGAGAGTATTAGTTTGAAGTGCAATTGCTTTCCTAACAAAGGCAGTAAATGCAGACTACTTGGGTCCTGTTCACAAAACACCACATGGGG